AAAGGAGGAACTGGGGACAGGAAAGGAGGAAGCTGAGGGGGGAAAGGAGGAATGTGGGGTGTGAGAGGAGGAAGCTGGGGCGTGAGAGGAGGAATCCGGGGCGGGAAAGGAGGAACCGAGGTGGGAAAGGAGGAACTGGGGACAGGAAAGGAGGAAGCTGAGGGGGGAAAGGAGGAATGTGGGGTGTGAGAGGAGGAAGCTGGGGCGTGAGAGGAGGAATCCGGGGCGGGAAAGGAGGAACCGAGGTGGGAAAGGAGGAATTGGGGCGGGAAAGGAGGAATTGGAGCAGGAAAGGAGGAAGCTGGGGGGGAAAGGAGGAACTAGGGGGAGGAAAGGAAGAATCGGGGTGGGAAAGGAGGAACCTGGGGCAGGAAAGGAGGAAGCTGAGGGGAAAAACAGTAACTGGGGATGGGAAAGGAGGAAGCTGGAGGGGAAAGGAGGAACGTGGGGTGGGAGAGGAGGAAGCTGGGGCGCAAGAGGAGGAATCCGGGGCGGGAAATGAGGAACCCGGGGGCAGAAAAGGAGGAATCAGGGTGAGAAAGGAGAAACTGAGGTGGGAAAGGAGGAACCCAGGGCAGGAAAGGAAGCTGAGGGGAAAAGGAGGAACTGGGGACAGGAAAGGAGGAAACTGGGGGGGGGAAAGGAGGAATGTGGGGCGGGAGAGGAGGAATCCAGGGCAGGAAAGGAGGAACAGAGGTGGGAAAGGAGGAAGCTGAGGGGAAAAGGAGGAACTGGGGACAGGAAAGGAGGAAGCTGAGGGGGGAAAGGAGGAATGTGGGGCGGGAGAGGAGGAATCGGGGCGGGAAAAGAGGAACCCAGGGCAGGAAAGGAGGAATTGGGGGCGGGAAAGGGGGAAGTGGGGGGGGAAAGGAGGAATCGGGGGCGGGAAAGGAGGGATCTGGGGAGAGGAGGAAGTTGGGGTGGGAGAGGAGGAATTTGGGGTGGGAAAGGAGGAAGTTGGGGTGGGAAAGGAGGAATTGGGGTGGGAGAGGAGGAAGTTGGGGTGGGAGAGGAGGAATTTGGGGTGGGAAAGGAGGAAGTTGGGGTGGGAAAGGAGGAATTGGGGTGGGAGAGGAGGAAGTTGGGGTGGGAGAGGAGGAATTTGGGGTGGGAAAGGAGGAAGTTGGGGTGGGAAAGGAGGAATTGGGGTGGGAGAGGAGGAAGTTGGGGTGGGAGAGGAGGAATTTGGGGTGGGAAAGGAGGAAGTTGGGGTGGGAAAGGAGGAATTGGGGTGGGAGAGGAGGAAGTTGGGGTGGGAGAGGAGGAATTTGGGGTGGGAAAGGAGGAAGTTGGGGTGGGAAAGGAGGAATTGGGGTGGGAGAGGAGGAAGTTGGGGTGGGAGAGGAGGAATTTGGGGTGGGAAAGGAGGAAGTTGGGGTGGGAAAGGAGGAATTGGGGTGGGAGAGGAGGAAGTTGGGGTGGGAGAGGAGGAATTTGGGGTGGGAAAGGAGGAAGTTGGGGTGGGAAAGGAGGAATTGGGGTGGGAGAGGAGGAAGTTGGGGTGGGAGAGGAGGAATTTGGGGTGGGAAAGGAGGAAGTTGGGGTGGGAAAGGAGGAATTGGGGTGGGAGAGGAGGAAGTTGGGGTGGGAGAGGAGGAATTTGGGGTGGGAAAGGAGGAAGTTGGGGTGGGAAAGGAGGAATTGGGGTGGGAGAGGAGGAAGTTGGGGTGGGAGAGGAGGAATTTGGGGTGGGAGAGGAGGAAGTTGGGGTGGGAAAGGAGGAATTGGGGCGGGAAAGGAGGAATTTGGGGTGGGAAAGGAGGAATTTGGGGTGGGAAAGGAGGAAGTTGGGGTGGGAAAGGAGGAAGTTGGGGTGGGAAAGGAGGAATTGGAGCGGGAGAGGAGGAATTTGGGGCAGGAAAGGAGGAATTGGGGGTGGGAAAGGAGGAATCGGGGTGGGAAAGGAGGAACCTGGGGCGGGAAAGGAGGAAGCTGGGGGGGAAAGGAGGAATGTGGGGCGAGAGAGGAGGAAGCTGAGGCACAAGAGGAGGAATCCGGGGCAGGAAAGGAGGAATTGGGGGTGGGAAAGGAGGAATCGGGGGCAGGAAAAGGAGGAATCGGGGCGGGAAAGAAGGAATCTGGGGCAGGAGAAGGAGGAACCGGGGTGGGAAAGGAGGAATCTGGGGCGGGAAAGGAGGAACTGAGGCGGAAAAGGAGGAATCCAGGGTGGGAAAGGAGGAATCTGGGGCAGGAAAGGAGGAATCCGGGGTGGGAAAGGAGGAATCTGGGGCAGGAAAGGAGGAATCCGGGGTGGGA